TCTACAAGTATCAAATGCAGACCCTACCTTTTGCCACCGATCTGTGATCAATGTCCAACTTACCATCACTCGGTGACTCTCCAGACGATTTTGAGTAGGGCTGTGCATTATTCGGTCCAAACCCGGACCGACCCGAAGACCGGCCAAAACCGGACCGGACCGGTCCGGACCGGTCCTAATTCGGTCCGGTCTCCGGTCCAAAAATTTCTGTTATCCGGGTTCCGGTCCGGTCCGGTCCAAACCCGGTGAGACCGGTGGACCGACCGGTGGACCGGTTATATCATTAAGTTATGGGCTTTAGGGCTTAATTTATATACCCACTAATGTCAATACCCAATAATCCAACTTAGTCCATTAGTCCAGATGGTCCAGTGACTCTTCCCCAACATCCACTTATCCAAACGGCAAACTGGCAAAGAAAACCAAATCGCCACACAAGTCGCACTCAGTCGCCGACCTGAAGAAAACAACCCTAGCCAGTAGCCACTGCCGATTGAGGAAGAAAAGTCAAAGGACACGGCCGGCGCAGCGCAGCAGGTTCTCCGGCAAACGCACTCACGCAGCGGCGCAGCACAACAAGTTCTCCGGCAATCGCAGGGATTTCAGTCGTCGTCCAGTCCGTCCGCACTCCGCAGGTACGCAACTCTGCCCAATTCTCAACTTGTAGATTCTTGCTAAAATGTCAATTGATTATGGGACTTTTTGGAATATTGAAGTATGTTGTTTGGAGCATTGGAGTATATTGTTTTCCCTAATTCGGTCCTTATTCGGGCCGGTCCGGACCAGTCTATTTTTTTTCGGTCCGGTCCCGGTTCGGTCTTACACTTTACCGGTCCGGTCTACGGTCCATTATTTTGCTCTTATTCGGTCCCGGTCCGGTCCCGGTCCGGTCCGGGTCGGTCCGGGTTTGGACCAATGCACAACCCTAATTTTGAGGGAGACCTCAAGGATGTGCTCATCCTTTTTTTTAATGTTCAAAATAAATTAAAACTACCAAGTATCTTTTTCAAATGCGTCCAAGACATGCGTGTAACCATAGTTTTAAAAATCGGACCGGATCGGCCAGTTCGGACCGGGAACCGGCGAACCGGACGCCAAACCGGTCCGGTCCAGTGCTTCAGACCGCTACTAGCAACGAACCGCCGGGAACCGGATAAAACCGGCCAAACCCGGCCGGTTAAACCGCAAACCGCCATTTTTTTTATTTTTTTGTTAAAGTTTTCAAAACTTAGAGTCTTGGGGGGTTCGAACCCTTGATGTTCCAGAAATTCTACCAGCCATTTGGTTATTTGTATCAAATATTCTTTAAGAATAAAATTGTTTTTCAAATAACTTTGAAAAAAAATATTTGGATTTTGAGATAAGATTCAAAATCTAAACCATTGATATAATAGATATTAATAGGAAGTGCATATCACACAAATATTTTATTTATATACATTTTAAATATTGGAATTACTTGAAACATCATATCAACTCTTATTTTATACTCCTCCATCCGGAAATATTCTTCTAATTTGACTTTTCTTGGTTAAAGTTTATAAACTTTGACTATGATATATGGAAAAAATACATTATATCACGATATAAAGATATTAGTGGTCAAAGTGCAATTTTGGAGACCATAAAGAGTCAAATGGAAAGAAAATTTCTGGACGGAGATAATGAAACTTTAAAAAACATAACTTTTATTTTTTAATTTAATGCCACAACTGATTTAAATTGATTATAACTTTAGCCAAATATCATAATTGTTTATATCTAAATAGAGAAAATATTATTCTCTTTACTCATATATGACTTTTATAATTATATATATATATATATATATATATATATATATATATATATATATATATATATATATATATATATGTTCGAACCACTGGTTCGACTAGTGAACCAGTGAACCAGTACCTTGACCGGTTCGATCACCGGTTCGATTCTGAAAACTATGCGTGTAACTATATATAGAGTATATAGAATCCCAAATTAAATTAGTCTAAATTAAATTAGTTGTTATTATTTACTCCGTATGATTTATGGAGTATTTTTCAAATGGAATAGTAGGCAAACAATTTGAGATAAAGTTGTAATCTTTGGTCATTAATACCTCAAGCTTGGTATAGAAGAAAATTTTCCATCTTCTGATGGGAAGAAACAGAGGAAGATTAACTGAATGCTATGACGGCCAGAGCTTTTCTTCTCTCTTACTATCACTCTCCTCCGAAGCGGCACTGCTCACCGGAGTCAACAATCACCAATAGAATAAGCTTCATCTCTCGCGCTGCCAACAATCACGATGCTCCTGCGGCCAAGCAGTTCGAATTCGGGGCTCCGTTTCAATTGGAGCGGGGCATTAGGCGCGGATTGATCGGGAGCACGGGCTGGAAGGCGTTTGCAGATATCAATCCCAAAGCGTATGATTCCACTGACTCGTTGCAGGAATCCGCCGAGTGCGACGGTGCTCTAAACGACGGCGTTTTGAAGGAGGACGGCGGAGAGAGCACGCCGGGGTTCCCCAAGCGCTGGGTTATTGTGCTTCTCTGTTTCTCAGCTTTTCTGCTTTGCAATATGGATAGAGTGAGCTGACCTTTTTTTGCTCTCTTGAATAATGATTAATAAAATCATTGAAAGTATGATGTTTTATTTTTTGAATTGATTAGGAAAGTGTGCTGTTTATTTAATTAATATTATTTGTAATGGTTTTTGAATTAATTTCTGTTCTAACAATACATCGGGATAAATGATTTTTTTTTGTACTGATTTCTTCTGGAATTCATAAGGAAACCTACCTCTACTAGGAAATAGAACATACACTAGAAATAATAGATAGGGAGTGTGCCAATTGCCAAATATATCCCAAATGAATCCTGGTATTATTTTTACCATAGTATTATTTTTAGAGCTTCTCCTTTGGTTGAGTGACACGAAGTCCACTCTCCAAAATTTAAGGGGAAGCTCACCCAAGTTTGATTCCCAACGGAGGTGGAAGTATAGGCTCCTTGTGCATTATTAGATTGAGAAAGTACAAACATATACTACATTCTAATATTGTCAATCACCCTCAATTTGTAACTACTTGCAATTCTGACTTGATAAAAAAAAACATTGACAAATTATTCAAATTCGAGGGTGTCAAGAATTGCTTTAGAGGAATGAAGAGTGCAAAGAATGATGTCATCAGTAGAGTTCAATTCTAGTCGAGGAGAGTCTCCAAAATAATGTAGAGATGATTCGTATATAATGCAAAATCATGAAGGGAGCTAAGAATCATGATTATGAGCTGAGTGACTTAGCTGTCACTTTTGTTTTCTTTGTGGCCATTGCCTACTTCGGTACTAGGTGGTACTGCTCTGAGAGGATGTTCATGCTTACCTTCAGCCTTTATTGTACTTTGTGAAAAGATAGGAAAAAAGGACTACATCAGTACATGCTGTGTTTTGTGTGTTTACTCCATATAGGAATTTTTAGACAGTCAGGAAATTCAAGCAGATTATGTTCTGCAGGTAAACATGAGCATAGCCATACTTCCAATGGCATCAGAGTTTCATTGGAGTCCTACAACTGTTGGTTTAATACAATCTTCCTTTTTCTGGGGCTATCTTTTGACTCAGGTAATGAAATGATCATTCCTTTATATGATAACTGCAGTTTAAGACCATAATCTATGCTATTTATTTTCATTCATAGGTCTTAGCTCCTGTAATTTGGGATAATAAATTCTGTTTTGCTTCTTTTTTACTAGTTTATCTATTAGATCATGCGTGTAATTTATTCCCGTTGTATTGACTACCAATATAGTATTGCAAATTACTTTTTCTTACAATTTTTTTGTTAAAACATACTTAGATTGCAGGCGGTATATGGGCTGACACTGTTGGTGGGAAGTTTGTCTTAGGATTTGGTGTAGCCTGGTGGTCGATAGCAACAGCCCTCACACCAATTGCAGCAAATCTCGGGTTACCTTTCTTATTTGTTGTCCGAGCTTTCATGGGAATCGGTGAGGTTGGATGTTGTATTCTTTTCTGTATATTTTAGTTTAATACACCAATAAGAAAACAATGAATACAATCGTATATGGTGTTTTGCTATTAAATAATGATCTATTTTTCTTCCAATCATTTGCATTGTACTGTATTTTGCCACTAATTGCTTCTACCTGAACTAGCCACCCTTGATATGATTCTGCTGGGCCAACTCAATTTTTGCCATCTCAGGGTGTTGCCATGCCAGCAATGAATAATATTCTCTCAAAGTGGGTTCCAGTCTCGGAAAGAAGCAGATCACTTGCCCTGGTGTACAGTGGAATGTACCTTGGGTCTGTCACCGGCCTAGCCTTTTCGCCGATGTTAATCCACAAGTTTGGTTGGCCATCTGTCTTTTTTTCCTTTGGTTCCTTAGGCACTGTTTGGGTTGCTCTGTGGCAAAGTAAGGTAGATATCTAAGTTTGTTTTTGAACTTATTTAACTTTCCTTCTAAGGTGGTATTTCTCAGTTTTTGTTGCCAACACTGCACAGTATTGGATGCATGTGTAAGAATGTGTGTTTGTCTTCTTCTTTTATTCATTCAATCAATTATTTTGTTCAGTCACACAGTTCTCCTCTGGATGATCCTGATTTACTGCCCGAAGAGAAGAAGCTTATTCTTAGCAACAGTGTTTCCAAAGAACCTGTAAAATCTATTCCTTGGAGACAAATTTTGTCCAAACCACCTGTTTGGGCTTTGATAGTGTCTCACTTCTGTCACAATTGGGGAACTTTTATTATTCTTACATGGATGCCTACATATTATCACCAGGTAGTTTACTTACAGTTTTTGATTCATTATACTTGCAGATTGTTTAACACAAACAAGTCTCAATGCATATAAATTGTACGGAGCATTTCATTGATGTTAAAATACACTCCTATCAAAGACCTTTTCAGTGCTATGAACTTTTCTGGATGCTTCACCTCATATCCTGAATGTTTTTAACCGTAAGCATTGATAAGTGTGTAGCTTTGATGTGCTTAATACCAGACTACCCTTCAACCTTTTGTTCATCTCAAATTTTGACCTCTTTTCGGTGGTAATTGTATCATGTGTATTTTGCATTTAAAGAACTTAGACCTGATCTCTTTCAAATCATGATTTAGGTGTTTCATAGCAATGCAAAAGCTATTTCGTTTGAAGTTATTGGCTAGGAAACTGGACTGGTATCAAAATTTCATGGTAGAGATATATATCCGTGATTATCACTAGTCTTGTGTGTTGTGATACTAAGCCCCATTTGCTCACACATTCTAAGTTATGCTGATATATTTGCCACCATTTCATTTGCTGTGATGATGTGATCTTTTATGTAGTCAATATTAATTGCAGGTCTTGAAGTTCAATCTTACTGAATCAGGAAGTTGTGCCATTTTGCCATGGTTTACTATGTCATTCTCTGCAAATGCTGGAGGATGGATTGCAGATTCATTGGTGAGGAAAGGTGTATCAGTGACTGTAGTGAGGAAGGTATTGCATAATCTTGTTGTGGCCTGTGGGCTTTAGGTTGCGTTGGGTTTGAAACATTTCTTTTTCAGGATTTTGAATGGAAATAATAGCTTCTAGACTCTAAACATTCAGTAACAAACACATTGGTTAGAGGATTCAATTTTTCTAACTCCTTAGCTCTCGAGAATTTCTGTTGATTCATAATTGAAGTCATCGGTCTAATCTATGAATTGAAAATGGCCTTCATGGAAAAGAAAATCATGCATGCATATTGTCTATTATAATTTTTTATTTTGTTATTTGTTTGGATGTGTTGATTTCCATCTCATCATGTAATAGATTAGTTATTTCTATTACTTGGAGACTTGTCAACATTTTTTTTAAACTACATGAGGAATAACCTTTTAAGGGAATGCACCTTACTGTTCTTGGTGCCTGAACTGCAGACATTTCACTCTTAACAGGTAATGCAGACAATAGGGTTTCTTGGACCAGCTTTCTTTCTAAGTCAGTTGAGCCATGTTGATTCTCCAGCAATGGCAGTTCTGTGCATGGCATGCAGTCAGGTTTGTGCTTATTTCATATTGAGATGCGAAATGACAGGGGTCCACCCCGTGCCGTTGCTACTTTTCTTCCTCCCTTAAAACTGTCAAATCTTGAAAGAATACAAAGCTTAGGAAACATCATTTATTTTTTCTTCTATTAATATTCACGTTGGAACTTGTGCATTTACTATTGGTAACCATCATCAAAATTTGTCATTGGTTGTCATTTCTTGGAACATGCACTAGTTAATTTCTAAGTTGCAAAAAACAGTAATATCGAGTGATTTCATGGTAGATTTGACAAGTATTATGGGACGTAGAAATGTTAAAAATGTGACATTTTTAGGGATGGAGCCATGGAGGGAGTATATCTTATTATCTCGCTCCATGTTTTCTTCTCTTATTTTGTTCTTCGCAACTTAGTAATCTATCAGTTAGCTGTTATTCTTCATTTCTTTATGTAGAACAATAGCTAGATTTTTACCTTTTATTTTTTAAAAGGCCAGTATTGATACCTTTGGTTATATTAACCTAGTTGACAAAAACAATAGTGTCTCATCCACTGATTAGAAACTTTCTGTGTGGCTGAACTGCATTTTAGTATCTTAGTGTTATTTTTCTCATTAGTTTCTTTATAAAAACAGGGAACTGACGCTTTTTCACAGTCCGGATTATATTCAAACCATCAGGATATTGCTCCCCGGTATTCAGTGAGTATCCCAAACACACTCACCTCCACGAACACACTCACACAAATACACAATGCCTTTTCCTAAGGTGTATTTTTCCTAATATAAAAGATTGGGGGAATTTCTATTATACCATATAAGGAGCATGTTGAATCACCTTTTTTTTCATCTTAAAAACATTACTGTTGTCAAGTTTGGATACATTTGTTTTCAGATTTTAAATTTAGAAACATTTTATCCAAAGGCTTCCCCTCTAAACCCCTCCAAAACCCTCCATCCAAACAGACCCTAACTAGTGTAAGTGACCTACAGGGGGTGCTTTTAGGGCTATCAAATACAGCTGGAGTGCTGGCGGGTGTTTTTGGAACTGCAGCTACCGGATACATCCTGCAACATGGTTTCCACCCTTCAACTGTTTCCTCTCAAGTTTTGTTGGACTTCTTTGCCCCCTTTGGTTACACATAATTTTTTTCCACTCTCCATTTTAACATTCTAAATCTTTATTTTCCATGTGAAAACTTTAAAATATGTTCAAGTACAATTTGCTTCAGCATGATGCCAGTAATCAAATATGTACTAGAAAAATATTATACCCCCTCCGTCCCTTTGGACTTTTTCATGTTTGACTTTTCTGGTCAAATAGAAAAATGTTCTTTATGAAATACAAAATTTATAACATCTTGTTCCTGATTAACAATAATTTTACGTGTTCCTTGTTCGTGATATAACCATGCTGATTCCGAGTCTTGTGTCTCAGGTTCTTGGGACGATGTTTTTAATGTTTCAGTGGGGCTATACTTGGTTGGAACCGTGGTATGGAATCTCTTTTCAACCGGAGAAAAGATTTTGGACTGAGTCTTATTTCAGTGGATCCAGTTCATACTTTGGTCTTGAACATAGGCAGACCAGCAGGTTCACAATGGATTTTTGTAAACTGAATTTGCATTGATCAAGGTGATGGTTTCCACAGCTGCACCGACCGTTTTAACCGTTGATTCATCGGTGTGTGTACAGTTACTTGATGAAAATGTGGCCAAAACATATATTGTATACATCTTTGATCTTTCCGTGTTTAACCCTGCGCTGATTTGTACATATAGAACTCGATTTTGGCGCGAAGGACCTCAGTACTTGGGCAGGTTTGAAAATGGATCACAATTAGAGGGGATTTTAATTATAAATTGATTTTTATTAGAATTGTTTTATAGTTGTCTTTCCCACCAGTTAATGTTACCTAGTGTGCCAGTTTGAATATTTGTTAGTTGTTACTCCTTTTGTCTCTTAAAAAACTTCTCAATTATTTTTCATCAGATCTAATTTTATCATCTTTATTTGCTTATTTTTATACTAATTTGATAAGAGAATATAATCATCTCATTTCTTGTTTTGTAGAATTTTTTTATCTAACATTTTTAAACATAAAAGTTTTATTTTAACTCTACACTAATTATTAAATTAATTAATTGCAAAATAACTCCGGTTAAATAATGTAGATTGTGAAGAGAAGTTTTTCTGTTTGGGGGGGGAGGAGTATATTACTTTTCTGTCTCAAACTAAATTACTCCCTCCGTCCCGCTATATTCGTCCACTTTTGACTTTTGGAACTGTTCATCTAAGTACTTTGACTCATCAAATTCTCTCAATGTGTAAGCCTAAATATAGTCATGTGTGATCTTGTTTGATTTGTCTTAACATATAGATCATTAATATATAATTTCTATAATTTTTTAATATACAAATTACAAGATAAAATGGATTAAAGAAGTGTATTGGATGGTGTGCAAAAATGAAAGTGGACAAATACTCTGGGACAGAGGTAGTATATATTTACTATTCATATGGTTAAATTTATTCATTTTTTATTTTCATTAGTTATTTGATAAGAAAATATAGTCATATTACTACTAGCTTTGTAGATCTTTTGATATAATTTTTAAATATATAATTTTTATTTTTTAATTCTGCACCGTTTTTCATATAAAATGATTTGAAAATAACTTTAAACAAATATCGTAAATCAAAACAGGCAATCAAGTAAAATGGTATGCCCCTGCACAATCCTCATGAAGCAATTTTGATCAATATATTTAGAATTTTACTTAAATACAAAATTATTTTGTACCCCGCATTAAGTAACCTAAAGTTTGGTTTTGAGATTGAATATTTGGTAAGCGTATCCATTAGATTTGAAAGATGGTATGACATTCTCTTTCCTGCAGTACAATTGTCCCCATTTAGATGCAATTTTAAACAGATGAATAAACCTAGGATATATAAAAATAGGGTATTTCATTTGTACACTAGACAAATATAGATAAACACAGATATTTATTGTCTATGGATCACAGATAATAAATATCTGTATTTATCTGTGTTTGCCTGGTGTGCAAATGAGGTATCCCATTTTGGTGTATCCCTAGCATGCCCCCTAAACAGATTTATTACCTACTTACCAGTTACCACTTACCACACATACTCTGTCTAATTTTGGCCAAATTGTTTTCATTTCGGATAAACTTTTGTTAAAACTAAATTTGAGCTTAGTGCATAAATATAATTAATTATCAAATACTAAAACTTTTATCTTAAAAATACCTGCAAAATGTACAGATAACTTATCTTTTGGTAAAAATTGGTAGCATTTTTCATTTTTTATTTGCACAGCTTTGAAGCTATGAGGTCATATGCTACTCCACATATGAGGCTTTTTTACATGGAAGGTACCCAAACTTTGCGCATTGTAATAATAAAAGTATCTCATTTTTAACCTGTAACAAAAATGTATCTCATCTTTAAAAAATATAACAAAAGGATACCCCGTGCCGGAATTTTAACGATTCGGCCGGTGAGTGCACATGTGGCGTTCTACTTGGCTTTCTAGTGTACTTGTGACAATCCATATGGCTTGTAGTTTATCCAATAATTGGTTAACTTTGTTAAAACATGATTTTATATCTATCTGTCAAGTACAAAGTTATTCACAAATAGAAGAAGTTAGAAGTTAATCTGAAAGTCATATGAAATGCTACATGTATACTAGGAAGCCAAAGTGGAAGCCCATATGTGCAGTCACCGGTCAGATTCTCAAAATTCTGTCAAGAGATGTCCTTTTGTTATATTTTTTAAAGATAAGGTATCTTTTAGTTACAAATTAAAAATGAGGTAGTTTTTTGTTACAAAAACCAAAGTTGGGGTACATCTCAAGAAATTGCAAAGAAAATAAACATGTATTAAAACTCATCCATGAAGGTTACTGGTTTCGAATTTGGATTCCACCAGTTAGACAAAAAATTGAGAGAAGAGTGATGATTTCGGTTTTGGGTTCAAAGCTTCAAACTCAGCGACGGATTTGGGAAAGGAGTGCGAGGGATGGAAGAAGCTTAATTGATGAGAGAAAGGAGTGTGAATTTACAATTTTATCTACATTCTTAACGGAAATGTTAACAAAGGACCATTCATGGAAATGAATATAATAATTGGGGACTAAATTAGTAATATTTGATATGTTGGGACTAAATATGTAAAACGACTTATAACTGGGGACCTTTTATAGAATTTACTCAAAAAACATTGAAGGTCCTATATCTTAAAACTCCCCCCGTCCTTTAAAATAGTTCAACTTTCACTCCTTACTCGTCCCATAAAACATTTCAATTTTGTCTAAATGAACACAACTTCCCTTACTTCTCTTAAATGTAACTGAACGCTGAACGCACCTCAACTACCTTCTACGTTCTACCCGTTTTGATATTTCTTGAGCCAACTTGTTTCAATTGTCGTCGTTTCACCTTGGTGAAGCTTCTATATCTTCCCTTCCCAAAAGTCAAAACTGGAAAAGTTTTCCAGGACGGAGAGAGTACATGATACGAGTAGACTTGACAAAACGGACTCGAACCTGATAACTCAAACCGAATAACCAGGAATCGAACCGGAAATAACCTAAAAATTGAAAAACCAAATTAAATTCAAACACCCGAAATGATCCGAACCTAAACCAAAGCGAATGTATTCATACCCAATTCAGATCCGATTGAACCTGAACCAAATACACTCGAACAGATTAAACCCAAAAACGATTAGACCCAAAATTGATTAGACACAATATTGATCAAATTCAAAACAAATTAAACTCACATTCAGTCAAATCTAATAGCTCATTGGTTGATGTCTTTTTCAGAAAAGCATATTTAAATTATAGGTACAACTACCTTCTGTACAAATCTTTTATTTCGTATAATATCATTCAAACTAAGGTGGTTCTTTATTTTTATATAGAGTATATATAGTTTACAGTAAAACCGTAACATATTGATGAATATACTAGCTCATTATTGCTGACACGTGTATCTACACGTGTATATATACCTCTATACACACAGGGTGAAAAGGGCACACAAGGCTAACATTAGGAACTCTAATACCAAGAAATTTCATCTGAAACCAGTACAAATCCGAACCGAAATAAATTTGAACCAGAACTGAATCGAAACTGGGAAAAATCAAACCATTTAAACCCGGAACCAAACTGAATCGACCCGACCTGACCCAAACTGATTATAACATGGAGTATATCCGAAAGAGATCCGAACTGAAAAGATCCAAACCAAACCAAACCGATTGACGTGATTGCCAGGATACGAGAACATGTTTTAGTCTAGATATTTATTCCTATAAATTCCATTCAAACTCTAAAACCTAACATCTATCCAAGTCGACAACGGGGGAGTTGCTACACCTAAGGCCCATCGTGGACCCTACAGGCTCCTAAAAGAGTTCCAAGCTTTTCAGCCTGGTTCGGTCCAAAAGGGAATACATTTTAATCGAGTCGAATCTCTCTTTCATAAATTTATTCTATTTCACCATCGGTCCGGTCTCGTCTTGGACAGATGAACAAACTTATCGATCAGCAACACCTTTAGCTAAAATTATACTCCCTCTATCCACAAATAAACTTTACGTTCACTATTCACAGGTCAAACTTTATTCACTTTGTTGGCCTATTTTCGTCACCCATTTCATAAAATAATATAGACATATCACCTCTAGTTTTGTAGATCTTTTGATATAGTTTTTTAATATGTAATTTTTATTTTTCAATTCAACACCATTTATCATATAAAATGATTTGAAAATAACTTCAGTCAAACATCATAACGCGTAATGTAAAGTTTATTTATGGACGGAAGGAGTAAATTAAAATGGCACAAAGAACCTTTTCTCATATTAAAAAAAACAAAACAAAAGAATTGATCATCATTCAATTGTTGATCATATACATTGCCAAGTGCACTCTGTAGTTCTAAGCAAGCTAACGAATGAGTGATAATATAATATAATCACGAAGAAAGTGAGTTCGATCTAGACAATGACAAGGACGAGTTGATGAACCGGATGCAATCATCAATGGCCTCAGCCCTATGATGATCAAACCCGCCCATTGCACGTGGGCCGCTCGTCATGGCCCACTTGCACGAGCAGCTTCTCCCCATCACCCCCACCTTCTCCCCGTCCGGAGACGACCCAACTTTCCGGCATCTCCCCGGAGAAATGACCCGCAAAGCCTCCGCCAGACTTCCCCGGAACCGCTTCAGATAATGTCTGATTGGATGAGAAAATAGTATCTCTGATGGCCGCCGGTTCGCCGCCACCGCCGCCGTGGTGGCAGTAGTCCTCAAGCTGCAACTTCTTGTGTAGTACTTGTTCATCATTGTCCTCTCTTCTTCTCTTCCCAACATTATAATTTATTTTTTTGTATTTTCTTTGAGTAGAAGAAGGTGAGTGAGAAATATAGTGTTGTTGAATATAACTGATTGAGAATTGTTGAGAAATACTCGGTATATATATATATATATATATATATATATATATATATATATATGGAGGATTTATGGGGAAAATAAAGTGAGGGACAAAAAGGGTACAAAAAAAATGTTTAGACTTATGTGATGGCAGAAGACAAAACATATTGTCCACACCAACCTATTTGCTTCTTTTTCTGCTTACAACCGTACATACATAATGCCCACATTCACCACATTAGTTGCACTACCTAATTTTGTACCCTTTGCAAAAAAAAAAAAAAATCTCTCTTCATTTTTTTTGTCAAGTAGCAACTGGAAAATGGGGGGCCGGAGTTGATATCAATTTAGACAATTGTATGTAATCTTGTTCTCCCAAAACTTTTTTATCCCACTCAAATTGCATGCTTATGTATTTTTGATTTACGATATTTGATTAAAGTTATTTTTAATACAATTTATTTGAGAATTATGGTGTAATTAAAAGATAAAATTTATATATTTAAAAAACTACATCAAAAGCTCAAGTGACATGACTTTATTATTTTATCAAATGAGTAATGAAAATAAGGGAAGAAAGTGAAGGAAGGGAAGAAGCAAAAGTGGTAAACACAATGAAGTGCAAAGCTTCCTTTTAATGAAAGGTGAACATGCTGTTTCATTTAATTGGGTTTTGTGTTCCTTTTTTAAGCTCCATGTTTTGATTTCTTTTTGCTTATAATGTGGCTTTAGTGGCACCATAATTATAGGATATGATATCATGATCATGACATACTTACTATGATGTCTCCCTCCGTATTCTTTGACGAAATAATTTGTATGTGGACTAATCATATTGTTGCAGTCACAAGCACTTTTGTAGTTTTGTTCACAAAGTACTTTTGTTCATATCATTTAAAAATTTATCATTCATGTGAGTGAGCATATAAAATTATTAATAGTGATTTTTGAGTTACAATAATTTTACAAATGTAGGAGGGACAATTCCATTGAACTTTATTTATAGAAAAACTACATCAAATTTTCTATGGAACTAAAATAGAAGTATAATATTAAAAATATATAATACCAAAATAGGAGTTGCATGTTTTAATTCTCGAAATAGAAATTAAAATGCATTTACAGTGTCAACCATGACCATATACATTACAAAAAAGTACTGTGAAATGTCCATTCACAATGTCGTATTACACAACGCGAACTTCTAGTTTAGGAATGAAAACATGGAGTATCTATTTTGGTACTTTTTGATATTTTATTACTATTAAGGATGCTTTCTTTTTTTTTATATAATAAAAAAATATACTCCGTATGTAATAAGATATTCAGAAACAAAACCGACAAAAATAACTTACTAGATCAACTTTGTTCCTTACAATGTCCAAAAGAAACTAAAATGTATTTCAATATCTCTGGGCAGGTGAGTAAAATCAAATACCCTTTTCATGTTTTCATTCAATAACATTCTCATCTCATTTCACCATACACAATTAAATATACCTAACAAATTGATTATTATAGGGTGCTCACTTTTATGAAATTTTTAATTTGTTTGAAGACATATAAATTGAATGTATATATGTGTACGGAGTATTAGTTTTACCAGCCAGCTGAATCAAATCATTGAATCAAATCATGTTGAGTATCTATGTATGTATATAGAAGTAGATATATAAATGGGGCAATATATATAGATCGAGGTCGGACATGTATGGGTTCTTATGTTGTGCCTAATTTTTGGCCGAATTAATGCGACGGGAGGAAGAACCAAACATTTTGACCCTACGGAAAAATATTAAGACTTGCAGTTTTGAAATACTTCACGTGATGCCTCCATGGCATGTCTTCTACCTGCTAGGTAAAATCAAGGGTGACACCATACATGACATTATTTGTGAAAAACAAATTCGCATTCAATTCATTGTCAACAATGTATAGTACTAAAATACCTCGAGTAACATTCTCCAACTCTTTTTTTGAACCAGCGATCGGGTTTGACAAGCTGAAGATCGCAAATTAAATGGAAATCAAACTATAAAATTGAAAATGAATGTGAAAACTTTAACCGAACAGTCATTATTCTGTTCTGATTTTCACTTTGGGCAACTGAAGTGAAAGGATAAATCAAATTTCCAAAGCTATGTCGCTTTATGTATAATTGATCATACTTTTAGAGTTTCTTACCTCAATTAATATACTCTTTCGACCATATTTATACAAACTATAAAGAAAAATCTAAGAAAATATGGAGTAAATACTAATAACCCTAATAATTAATATTAATAGCTACTACCTCCGTCCCGCTATATTCGTCTACTTTTGACTTTTGGAACTGTTCATCTAAGCACTTTGACTCATCAAATTCTCTCAATGTGTAAGCCTAAATATAGTCATGTGTGATCTTGTTTGATTTGTCTTAACATATAGATTATTAATATATAATTTCTATAATTTTTTAATATACAAATTACAAGAAAAAATGGATTAAAGAAGTGCATTGGATGGTGTGTAAAAATGAAAGTGGACAAATACTCTGGCACGGAGGGAGTATATATATGTGAAGTGTGTGTGTGTGTGTGTGTGTGTGTGTGTGTATATATATATATATATATATATATATATAAATTTTGGTTCAAGTGAGAATGAGATCTTATGAAAGAAATCAGAATGCATGTGGTGCTTTAGAATGTAAGATCTAAGGGCCATAAAAATATGAAAACAAGCAAAATTAGAAAAAAACATGGTGGCAATTCTGTAATTTAATGGAATTGTGTAAAATGCACTTCCTGTTATGAAAAATGCACCATGACGAACTATATGCTTTATAAAATGCATTATCGGCAAACAAAAATAAATCGTTCTTATGTATAGGTGTTGGTTCTCGTGATAATAAAAATACACGAGGGCCCTTAGATGGAGTGCATCGAACGGATCTAAATTTCATAAATATAGAAAACTAACATGTATGCATTTATGGAAAGTAATAATACCTTTTCGATAATAATGGGTACGAATTAATCAGGGGCATAGGTGTCAAAGTAGTCAATTCCCTCTTTTTGTCTAAAGCCTTGTATAACTAACCTAGCTTTAAACTTATCAATGAAACCGTCTATTTTCATCTTCTTCTTGAAGATCCACTTACATCATAAACGTTTGAATCTAGGAGGTAAGTCAGTTAACTTCTAAGTGTTGTTATGCAAGATAGAATCCATCCCATCTTGAATAGCTTCTTTCCAAAAAGCCACGTCCCTCGAAGCCATAGCTTCATTATATGTTCTAGGATCTGCTTCAATATTATAACAATATTGATATTGAAATAAAATCTCATCTCTAGACCCTTCAACTAGATATAATTGAAAACCAAAGCCAAAGGATTTGGCAACTCTACCTCTTCTGCTTCTCCTAATTTTCGTAGGAACAAATGACTCATTGGTAGAAACTATGTCTCTACTAGAGCCATCCTGGTTTGGTATAGACGAATCACCTAGAGCCATATATCTTGGCCTAGGTATTGATGAAAACATATTCTCATCGAAGATTGCATCTCTTGACTCAATAACGGTGTTTACTCCAAACGAGTCATTAGATTCTATAAAATAGAATCTATAAGCCTTGGATTGTAGAGCATGTCCAATGAAGATACAACCAATGCCTTTTTCACCCAAAGTTTTTCTTTTAGGTTCTGGGACTCTTACAGCAGTCCTACAGCCCCATGCTTTTAAATAATTTAAGTTTGGTGGCTTGCCATACCAAATTTCATAAGGGGTTATTTTGTTGCTTTTCTTAACAACTCTATTTAACAAATAGCAGACCGTTTATATAGCCTCTCCCTAAAATCTTTCACTCAAACCCGAGTAGGACAATATAGAGTTTACCATTTCTTTCAAGGTTCTATTCTTCCGCTCGGCTACACCATTTTGTTGTGGTGTATAGGGAGCAGTGGTCTCATGAATTATACTAACAGATTGAAAATAAACCGGATCAAAATATTCTTCTCCCCTATCAGTCTGGAGAGTTTTAACCAAGTCATTCTTATACAATTCTACCTCGGTTTTGTATATCTTAAAAGTTTCCAATGCTTGATCCTTAGCATGCAAAACATATACATAACAAAACCTAGAGGCGTCATCTATAAAAGTGATCATATATTTTTTATTTCCTATAGATGGAGTTGCATGAAAATCACACAAGTCACTATGTACAAGCTCATGAATTTTAGAATCCCTTTTGATTTCTTTAAAAGGTTTTCTAGTTATCTTGGTTAGCATACATGTCTTACATCTCTCTTGATTTATGTCAAAGGGAGGAATTAAGTTACTTTTGGACATATCTTGTAATCTTTTATAATGTAAATGACCTAAACGAGCATGCCATAAAACTAATTTGTTCAAGGTATCACATGTAGTAGTCATACAAACATCATTCATGCCAAAAGGAACATCCAAACTTAATTTAAACATGTCATTGCATAAATAACCAAAACCTAAAAGCCACCGTGTCTAGATAAAATATATTTATTATTGCTTTCTAATACTTGTTTATATCCATGGTTATTCATTACAATCCCAGATAGAAGATTCTTTCGAATTCCTAGTACATATAAAACATTATCTAAGGGGGGTGTATTCAATTTAGATTTTAAATGATTTTGATAGATTATTTAGAATCCATAGATTCTGTAAGTTCATTGGATTGTTTTAAGTTTACGCAGAGTTAATTAGATTCTAATGTATTCTATCAAAGAATTCTATAGGATTACATTACATTTTTCTTTTCTTTTTTCTTTTTTTCTTCTTTTCTTTTTTCTTTTTCTTTTTCTTTTCTTTTTTCTCCACCTTCCCCCATGAACCCTAGCCACCGCGCCGCTTCTTCTTTCCCAATTAGTCTTGTTCTCCTCCGTCTTCCTCCCCCATGGATACCTACGCAGAGTTAATTAGTTTTTCTCCTCCGTCTTCCTCCCGGCTCTCTTATGGCGAG